CTCGTGGGTGGTGACATCGTGAAGATAAAGCGTGGATACGATCTCTCGTTTTTATTAAAAAGCGTTCGTTCGTTCTGTGTGCGGACCACCGTATTGTCTGGCGACGTCGTCCGTGCGGGAACACAGGACGGCGTTCATACGACACAGCCACGCCCCGCACGATGGCTACTAACCCTGTTGACAGCTCACCAGTAGCTCCGCGGAACGAGTGGGTGCCAAGCCACACGTGCACACGCTTGCCCGCGTTCGCAAACACGCGCACACGCGCACACGCTCAAAATGGCAACAAAGCAATTGGCGAGCAAGGTAATGAGGGACTGGTCCCAAAGCAATACTCGTCATGGGCGGTACCCATGTAGGTCACGAGTCCAAAATTTGAACGCAAAATATTCTCGAAAAAATGCTGGGTGTGCGATGTCATTCGGGTTGGAGCTGCTGGGGCTTTACCATGGCGGTGCTAGAGACTGTTGCGGAGCAACCAGGACAGCAGGCGCGACGCTTTTTCTTGAAGAGCGAGGGTGAGCACTGTGTCGCTAGGGCCCTCGAAAGCCGTCTCCGGATACCCGAACCCGATGAAGATAAGGTAACTCTCGGGGATGACGATGATTTGCGAGTTCTTGAATGGTTTGAAGCGAAGCTCATTCCGGCTCAGAGCGCTTCTCCCGGAGCGGCCATTGTTCCGGAAACGGTGGAGGAATACGAGCAGCGAAGTGTCCCCTGTTTTGCAGACGTTTGCGAATGGCTGATTCCTCGGTTCTGGTCCGACCCGACGAATTCGGAACACGCGCGTGCAGTGGTTGCTCGTTTAAGAGAAGCGTACAGCAGCGCAAGTGTCTTGCCTAAACCTTGGTTTCTAGATGAACATCGGTCTTTCGCCTCTTGGATGCCAAGCAGCATTTTCGCGGACGGTTTTGGCCTAAGGTCAGCTGTCGCCGTGGCCTATTGGGCTTACTACTTGGACAAGAGAGCTGCTATGTCACCGGCGCTACGATTGCGGTATCTCAATGCACTTGGTCGCTGGTATCCGGCACAAGCTTGGGTGCACGCGTGCGAAGATACGAACGAGTGCTGGCTGTCTACAAGAGATCAAAGTCGTGTAAGACTGCTAAGGAATCTCACTGACAACATATCACATGCGCTTAGCAACTATCAGACGACTGTAGATGGATCCTATCTGCAAAGTATAATGGCTCAGCGCATGGCTTGGGATTTGCAAGAAATCATTGCACCGCTCGTTACCGAAGAGAGAACGTCGCGGGAAACTCGCCTGAGAAATTGGACTAACGAGATTGTGCGCGAGGTGGCTGGGATCCGTCACAGACGTTACCTCCAAGTATATCGTGAACGCCGAGACCGTGTGATTTCGGCTTATTTCTCAAAATTATTGTCTTGGCAAGCGCATTCGGAAGATGACACTCGCTTCCCAGTGGGTGGAGACTACGAGTTCGTTCAACGGCCGAGCTTCCGTCGGTGGGTGAGGATGGAGGAACAGCTGGTCTGTCATTTGGTAGACCTGCTCATCGACCAGCATGTTGCTGACAGTCCTCAGATGAGAAGTCCTCAGACGCGAGAAGATGTTATCTCCAGTCTACGTGGGGAAGAGCGGTTCCGTTTTTCAGCCTCGGAAGAAACCTTCCACCAGTTGTACGATAGGTCTGTACGGGAGACATCAGCCCGGGTGGCAACTGAAGAAGCGTATGAATTCGCGTGGAAGGCGAGTTGTAACGCAATCACGCTGATAAGTGACGTGGCTGAAGCAATTGATGAACCGCTTCTTGTGCCGCCTTCGCCGAGTGCCCCAACCCAGTGGGCGCGTTTCACCGCACGGCCTCTAGATCCAGAGGACTTGATCCCTTCAGCGCCATTTGATGTCGTGCACGTTACTCGAGCCCGGGAGAAGATCCGGAGAGCCCTAAGTCGTGATGTCCTGGGTCGTGAAATCCGTGCGGCCAGGCTGCAGGAGCTGGAAGCTCTTCAGCTCTTGTTAAACCTGGAAGCCGTTGTCTGTAGGTGGATTTCATTTACCTTGCGAGAAGATCTTTAACTTTAGAAGATTTTTAACTTTAGAGATACCTCTCTTCAGAATTCTTACCGAAATGACTGTGTAAAAAGGGAGGGAGTTCGTTTGCGTTCGGTTGGGTTCGTTTGCGTTTGGTTGGGTGGTCTACAGGGTGCGGGAGTTGTTACCAAAAATGTTGGGGTGTTAACGTTCTTGATAGTGAGTATGAGTAGAGACCAGTTGAGGTGTCATAGCGAGCTGAGCTCGTGCTGTTAGGTCCGTATCTTTTTTTGGGGTTAGGTCAACGATGGCAGGTGACCAAGTAGGTATTTTTATATACGGCTAAGACCCACACTAGCCCTTACCGACCACCGCAATCTCACTTTCCTAGCGAAGGCTGACACAGGCAA